AGTGGGAGGGGCAGGGGAAAGGAAAGAAGGGAAAGGAAAAATGATGAGAAATGGAAAAAATGGAAACAAAGTCTTTGTAAATAGGGAAGGGTGGAGGGGGTGAGGGGGTGAGGGGAGGTCTGGGAATGGGGAAAAAATAAGAACCAAGATACTTCATGTAAAGGTACAAGTTCCCAATGAGAATTGTAAATGTATTGTATACCTAAAATGTACCAATAAAAGAATTTAAGGAAAAAAAATAAAAAGTTATACCAGATTGCCTACTAAAGTGGGAAGTTAGAGAACTGTATGGTTATAATCTATCTAGATTTTAACCAGACTTTTTTTCTCAGTCTTTTTGCTATTGTAGGACAAACTTAAGAAATATGGTCAAGATGATGACACACTTGAATGTATTTATAATTAGTAGAAAGACTAGGTATTGCTGATTAATAGGCACTTGCATATGCTATCAGAATTTATATTTTATCATGTCATGCATTACACAAATCAAAGGACATTTATTTTTCAAGTATCTCACATATGAAAACCAGGTGTGGGTTTATTGAATTATGAGAAATGTAGCAGTCAAGCTTACCAAATATGGGCAATACTTTTGCATGCAACATTTTTAGGGAGAGCCCACCAAGAAGAATGCTGACAGGAAAGGTCAGAATCAACCCCAGAAGGCTCTAATCAGAAGGCCAAGGGCCTGAAGCCTCTGGCCATCACAGTAGGGCATGGCTGCCTGCCTGGCTAACTGGATCCCTGGGCTGACTTGTAAGGACAGTTTCTTATTTGGCCGTAACTTTTGTCTCTCACTCTTTGGTAGAGTTTGAGAGTGACTGCCATTCTTTTTTTTAAAAGAGATATCTTTGCTGACTTGTTTTTAAATTACAATTCAATCTTCTTTAAGGTTACCTATCAGTTTTCTGCTGATAAATTACTTAACTTCTGAAAGTTTAATTCCCATATTCTTTCTTGTCCTTGTGTGTTACTTATGAGATACAGGTCACTTGACCCCCCCACCCTTTTTTTTTTTTAACCCGTGCTGCTTTTGGATGTTAAAATAAACAAACAAACATTAGAACAGAAATACCAGTGCTGGGGATTTAGCTCAGTGGTTCTGCTTCCTGCCTCGCAAGCACAAGGTCTTGAGTTCGATCCCTGGTACAAAAAAAAAGAAAGAAAAAAAAGAAAAACCAGTGCTGACACATGTAATATAATAGCAGCACATTTTTGAAGTACAGTATTTTTAATTAACATAGGCTCACCGTGGGGAGATCATGTATGATGTTATCAAGATGCCAGGTCAGACTTTGCTGCATTAACTATGTCGGAAGAGGGTTGTTGAATGAATGAACATTTGAATGTATGAAGGAGTTGAAAGCCCTACCCTAATCTTCAGCAATCCTCCATGCAATGTCTTATTTAGTTCAAGGTCCACATTTTCATAGAACACGGACAGACGGAAATATGTTCAGGGGAACCTGACCAGATGAGGATGGGACTTGAAATAACTTCTGACAAATGGCAATAAGACACTGGTGATAGGAAAATTATGAAAGAAAGAAAGTAGGGGGGAAATGATGAATGCTAAGAGTTACTGAGTGATTTACTATAGGCCAGCCATTGTCCTCTGTCCTTCAACGGATTTCAAACTATATGGTCAGTCACAATGAAAAAGGAACACATTATTTTGAATTGCCTAAAAGGCGGGGCTAACAGTAGTCAGTGAAATCCATAGAGAGACACCTCTGCTTATTAGAATGGTGGCATTTCTACTTTCGAAGCTGTTTCATAACAGAATGAGCTTCCTTGTTATTAATGAGTTTTCCTTTTGGAGGTACATAAGCAGAGATGAATGAAATTTTGGTAGAGATATTTTAAAGAGAAATGAATACTAAATGGAGGCATGGACCAGATGAACACTAAGACTGTCCAAACTTATCCTGTGAGTCTATCTTTACTATATGGCAAAGTAATGCCCCCATTTTTGTCTTTTAGTTCAGTAGCATGAGCTTTAAATGATGTCACTTGCAATAGATCAATCATAACTGATCCTGGTTTCTGGCTTTCTCCTGGAAACCAAGACAAAACCTAGCAAAACTCAAAGTTGCAGGGACATCGGGCAAACATTTTGTGAGTGCATCATTAGGTATAGTAGTGAGAAAACCCTCTTATTTGCTCACTTGAACTCCAGACCCATGTATTCTGAGTAGAAGAGAAACTCTGTCATATGTTTGGATTACTTTTTCACAGCATGGTAAATTACTCTCAGTTTGAAACTTCAAGTGTTAGAAGTTTTTATTTCTTTGTATTTCATTGAAGTTATTTGTAGTTCTGAAACTGAATGCATCCTTATTTGGGGTTTTGTTATTGCTAATGAGCCCACTTTGATTATCAGTGAACCTGTGCTTTCATGGCAAGTAGCAACACACCTTAAAAATGGGTTCCTTGGCTTGAAAAAGAACGACTGTTTACTTAAAATAACCAAAGGACCTATGGAATTTATATCTGAAGAATACTTAAATATTATTTATTAGTAGTTGAGGAATCTAAGCCCAGAGAGATGAGATGATTTGACACAGTCAACAGAGCCCGTGGGACATTTGAGCTCTTTTCTTTCTTCTCTCCACATCTCCAACTCACTAAGGCAATTACATGCCATATTCTTAGTAAGATAATACCCTTCCTTTCTCTTTTCTTCTCCCACTCTCCTTCCCCCTCCTTCTCCTTCTTCTACCAGTAACTGATACCTTTACTTACAGCCTATTGTCATGTGACCAGAGAAAATGGTATCTAAGTAGGATGCCAACGTAGCATTTTCTTTACCTATCCCTTAGTTAAGTGGGCTGGAGTTCTGGGAATCTTCTGCTTTTCATTCTGGATTGCTCTTGAATCTCTGCAGTGCTGCATATGATGCTGTCCTGGACAGAAATGTGGCCATTAAGAAGCTCAGCAGACCCTTTCAGAACCAAACGCATGCCAAGAGAGCCTACCGGGAGCTGGTCCTCATGAAGTGTGTGAACCATAAAAATGTGAGTTTCCTTGTTATTTTGAAACCTCTGGCAGTGGGAAGTTGTGAGATTAAGACAAGGAAATAGATGGCAACTTGATGGCTTTCTTTACTTTGCAATTTCTGCTTCTGAAGATTGTTTATCTTGCCCATATGCTATATGTGATTTCATTGTCCTCATGGTAGCTTCCTGCTTAAAGATCATCAAAAAGCCATATGGCATGGAGATGAATTTGATAGACATGTCTCTGTTACATAATTAACTTTATTTGGTTATCTTGCTCCAAATTAACAGGAGACTTCATGCTTTTCAGACAGAACAAACAAATACTCCCTCCTCCCTAGCTCCCACAAAACCTAGACTTTATATAAAAATATACCATATTTATTTATAATTTAAATGGAATTATTAGCAGGCGGAGATTTTTATTCATCATGTCATTTCCTATGAGTTTTAGCTGTAGTCTAGCAGTGACTTCCAACTAACCACTCAGAGTAGGCATTGTGTTTTGGCATCTTAGTTTTTGGAGGTCACATGAACAAGGAAGTACAAGAATGGATCAGTGAGAGCATTTTCTCATCTGAGCTCAGCGGGGAGACCATAATAGACTTCACTTCAGGGTCTCAGCTTCTTACTCCTGACAGAGGTCTCTAGAATGTTTCCTGTGCTCTATTTCTTCTTAGTAAGGAGAAATGTGAGATAGCTCATTATTTTATAA